GCTTAGGAGTGAGGACATGTGGAGCTGGGTTGGGTTTAGGATTTCATTGCTGTCAGGAGTTGCTGCCTACATCCTCCAGCGCCTTGGCTCCGGTGGCTGAGACGTCGACTTCCAAAGATGCCCGGGGTGTGGGAATGCCGTGCTTGTGTGAGCTCTTCTCTTTGCCATGTTTTTTTCTTCTTTTGGGACCCCATTTCTCTGTGGACTTTATGGAATTATTTTTTTAAAAAACAAATCCTGCTCCTGGTTCAGGTTTCATTCAAAGACGGACACAAACAACTCTGCTTGGAAAACTGTCCCCAGGAGCTGTGGCACTTGATCCCAGAGGCTCTTGGTGGTTCCACAGTGCCCAGTCATCCCAGTAACACCAAGGAGGATATTTCAGCTGGTGACTTTGTGGTTTTTGACCTGGTTTTTGTTTTTCCCAAGAGCGTCGGAGGTGCTTCCCCACAGTCTGATGTGTTCAGGCAAAGCTCGAGCCTGTCTTTATTGTGTGGGAGTGGATTGAGTGAGGTTTGCTTTGGTTTTCCTGCAACCACATCGGAAGGGGGAAATGGCCTCAGCGAGGCTGGGAATGCCAGGCCGATGCAGTGAAGAGTTTCTGTCCCAGTGATGCTCCTGGCTCCGTGCCCCTGCTCTGTCTCCCTGCACATGGGGGCTGGAGCTCAATTCCAGCTTCTCCATCGGTGTCTCCCTGCTGAGCTGTGCCTGAGGCTGGGTGGGAGAGGAGGGAAGAGGTGCCATGGGGAGAGGAGATGCTGTGATGCTGCTGGGAAGGAGCCTTGGTCCTGCATCTCCCACCCTGTTCAGCCACACAGGCCTGGCCACAGGCTGGGGCAGGAGGGTCCCTGCATCCCAGCAGCCACTCCCAGCTCCTGTTCCTCCCCTCCCTCATCCTGGGCTCTCCCTGCAGCAGCTCCAGTTTGTCAGGGCAGGGAACCCTCGTCCCCCTCACCCCTCCTGGGTGCCATCACCCTGCCTGGCCCTGGATGCGCTGGGAGGAGCGGAGCGAGCGCTGCTGGTGGCAGGTGAGGACTGGGAGCACCGAGGGGAAGCAGGAGGTGGCAGCATCCCAAAGATGGGATCTCCTGGGCCAGAAGCAGCAGGAACACCTGGAGACCTGCACTGGCCCTGCTGGATCCCATTTTTGCTGTCTCCTTCTCTGGCTCTCCATCATGTCACACTGACCCTGCCTCCGGGGCGTCACACCCACGTGAAATTAATTAGCAATAACGAACCTTGAGGCAATGGTAACTGGAATATCCAGGCTTGCACACGGGACACTTATGCAATCAGGGTCCTCATCCATCAGTCTCCTCCTGATCAGCTTCCAGCACTTCCATCCCTGTGATCCCCACGGTGTACAGTCCCCACGGCCCTGACGGCGTCACCGTGCTGCGGGGCAGCCCCCACTGCTCTCAGTGCACCCTTTAATCTTATTTATTTGCTTCTAATTTATACATATATATATAAATATATATATAAAATTATTTTGCTTAAATTTCTATGGTACACAAAAGATGAAAAATGATGAAGACGGAAGTGTCTGTCTGAGTTTTTACAGCACGAGTACGATTCCCCTCGGCTCGTCCCTGAGCTTGTGGTGGTGGAATGATTCCCATGGCAGGGAAGCAATGGTTTGCTCCAAAGCTGGATCCTGTAGCATGGAAAAGGTGTTCCAGAGACATTCCCGTCTGGAAACGGCGGGTTGGGGTTGGAGGAGCGGCACTAGGGATTCCTGGGAGTGGGATGCTCCAAAGTGCTTCCCAGTGCCCCGAGAGCTGCAGCAGCTGCTCCGGAATGTTCAGTTTTTCCTGGAGCTTTGCCCTGGCTCGGGAAAGCTGATCTGAAATGCTGAGCCTGGGATTTGGCCTGTGAGAGCTGCCCGTGCGTCCTGCCCGGGAGAGGGAGGATGTCCCCGCTGATCCCTGGTGCCCCGGCGTGTCCCGGGGGGTTTGTCCCCCTCCCGGGGGATTTGTCCCTGCTGGAATGGAGCTTTCAGAATGCCTTATTTGCCTTTTTGCTGTGTCAATGCAAGTGTCAGCCGGGAGCTGGGAGCAGGAGAAGCTCCAGCACAGGCTGTTCCCAGGCTGGACTGGGCTGTTCCCGGGCGGAGCAGAGCAGGGACCGGGATCTGCTCCCCACCTGCTGCCACCGAGGGTCCTGCTGGGCTCTGGGGCCCCGAGGGGTCCCCTCTGCTGTGCCCCCATCGCCTCCTCCATCCGGGAACCCCCTTCACAGACCCTGCACAGCTCCACGGAGCCTGGGGGAGCACGAGGAGCATCCCAACCCAGAAATCCCCCGGATTTTAGGCTAATGGAAAAAATTGCTCCATCTTCCAGAAATCATCTTATCAGCAGCACTTAACCAGAGCACCATCTCCTGGTCCTTCTGTTCCTCCTCGAGGATTTTAATGTCATTCCACTGTAAATGCTGTTGAATGTACTTTCTTTTTGAACAATAATATATTGTGAGTGATCCCTCTTCTCCTACACGGAAATAAAACTTGGATTCGGGAGTTTTAAAAGCCGTGGTGCTGAGATAGTCACTGGCTCCCCAGGGCTGCAGGGCCTGGAGGAGCTCTGGCTGTGGGAGGGGACACGGACACGGGTGGGGGACGGGGAAGGTGGCACAGGAAGGAGAAAATCCAGGGAATGTTGCTCAAAGGAGGAGGCTGCCCAAAGGACAGGGAGGTCTGGGGACGTGATGGTCCAGGGGGGGAGAAGGATCTGGGGGAGAAGTTGCCAAGGGGAGGAGATGGTGCAGGGAGGGTGGTTTGAGGGGCAGGGGGGAGGTTGTCTGTGAAAAACGCCAATCACTTGGTTTTTAAAATTTTAAAAGTTTAATAATAATAAAATGGTTATAAAAATAATAATACAACTAGAGTAATAAAGTTTAGAGTTAGGACAATTACAAGACAATAAAAAGCAATGAATTACGGATGTCCGGATGCTCTCGGGCACTAAGTCAGGAAAAGCATCCCTTGTGAACAAAGGAATCACCCTTAAACCAATACACTTGTTGCATATTCATATATCCTTCATGGTTATGCATACATTCTATTCTAAACAAGAAACTCTGTTGTACATCAGCTGTTTCCTTTAATCCCCTGGTGTCTTGGAGTCTGAGCAAGGCCTGAAGAAATTAACTTCTTCTGATAAGAAGCCATAAATTCTTTCCTTTGGAAGATTTAGGTGTTCTTCAAAACGAGTATCTCATCTCTAAAAAAACCTTCCTCCACATACACAGTCTCTATTTTAACATTATGTTGTAACCTAAAACTACACTTAACACACTACGTAAGAGAATTAATACAGCACAACTTTCCAACATTACACATATAATATTCATTGTAACATTTGCGAAAAGCCGATCATAAATACGCATTTTTCACCTTGTCCAAGGCAGGAGGTGCAGGGAAGCAGGAGAATGGAAGGAGATTATCTGGGAGCAACAGCTTGAAGGAGCAGGAGAAGCAGGGCAGGGTTTGCCCGGGAGGGACCATGGGGTGGAGATGCCCGGGGGAGCCGGGCCAGGGGGAAAGGTGCTGGCCCGGAGGAGGAGGAGGAGGAACAGCAAAGGGGCTCGGGGGAAGGTGCCCAGGCACGGAGGTTCCCTGGGGATGGTGGGCAGGAGCTGGCCCGGGGCTGCGGGAGGAGGGTCCGGGCAGGCTGAGACCGGTCCCTGCGGATGTTGCCGGGAGACAGGGACACACAGCCCTGCCCGTGCCGCTCCTGCTCCTCTCTGCCGGCCCAGGTGAGTCGGGGCTGCGGCGGGGGTAGCCCGGCACTGGGGTACCCCGGCACTGGGGGTACCCCGGCACTGGGGTAGCCCGGCACTGGGGTAGCCCGGCACTGAGGTACCCCGGCACTGGGGAACCCCGGCACTGGGGGAACCCCGGCACTGGGGGACCCCGGCACTGGGGAGACCCCGGCACTGGGGTACCCCGGCACTGGGACCCTCCCCGTGCGCCCGGGGGGCTCCGGGGCGCTGGGCAGGGCGGTGGCCCTGGGCACCTGCAGCTCCCCAGTGCAGCTCCAGTGCCCGTGTCCCGGTTTTAAGGAAAACCAGTCCCCGGCCCCCAGCACCCGCTGGCACCGCAGCTCCGGGGCCGGCCGGGCCGGGCCGGGCTGGGCTGTGTCGGTCTCAATGCCTCCAGTGAGCCCTGGCCCAGCACACCTGGCCCAGCACATCTGGCCCAGCACACCTGGCCCAGCACATCTGGCCCAGCACATCTGGCCCAGCACACCTTTGCTCCGGCACGGATTTGCCCATCGCCCCCAGCGTGCAGCGGTTTGGGAGCCCAGGGTGGTTCCTGCCCCGCCTGGACCCGCGGGAGAACCCCCGTGGGGATTTCTGGCTCACCCCCGAGGCCTTTGAGACCCTCAGCGCTTCTCTCCTCCTCTCTGCAGCCCTGGAGCCCAAATCCTGGATTTGGACCCTGTTGGTGAAAGCTGAAATCCAGGTGTGGGCAGTGAGGGGGGGCAGATGCAGCAGCAGCCCTGGGGTGCTCCTGCCCCGTGCCCGCGGTGAGCACATCTGGCAGTGCCCCATTCCCGTTTCCATTCCCCGTTCTGCTCCCGCAGCACCAGGTGTGGCTGTGCTGAGCGCTGCTGGCAGCGGGAGCGGGGCCATCCTCCCCAGCAGTGTCCTGGCATGGCCGGTGAGTGGGGACGGGGCACTCCGGGGCTTTCTCAGCTCTGCTGGGGCTCCCCAGCCCCGTCTGCCAGTTCCTGCACAGCAACGCCCGGGAATGGTGATGGAGCAGAGGTTCAGGGAGCTGGGAAGGGGCTGGAGCCCCAGGAGAGGCTGAGGGAGCTGGGAAGGGGCTCAGCCTGGAGAAAAGGAGGCTCAGGGGGGACCTTGTGGCTCTGCACAGCTCCTGACAGGAGGGGACAGCCAGGGGGGTCGGGCTCTGCTCCCAGGGAATGGAGAGGGAATGGCCTCAAGTTATACTGGGGAGGTTTAGGTTGGATATTAGGGAAAATTTCTTCCTGGGAAGGGCTGACAGCATCCCTGCCCCACCCTGGATGCTGCCAGCCCTCCCTGGCACTGCCCCCGCTGCCTGGCTGTGCCAACCCTGGTAGCATCAAGGTCAAAAATGACCCTGGTTTAAAATCAAAATAAGGACGATATTGTGGCTTTTCCTTCCAGTCGGAAGCAGCTGAGGGAGAGAGTGGGAAGGGTTCGGTGTTGGTGCTTTGGTGCACCCTCAGTGCTCCCGGGTGGTTCAGATCCAGCAGGATGGGATGGCTCCTTCCCCCTGGGTGGGCTCATGGCTCTGCTGTCCCCACAGAGCTGGCAGGAGGCCGTGCCGGGTATGCCCGGGGTGGCAGCCCTGTCCCACGGGAGGAGGATCACTCCCGGGCTCAGCTCCTGGGCTCCCGGCCCGGCCCGGGGCACCGGAGCAGCTCCAGCTCCATCTGCAGCGAGGACTCGGCTGCCAGCTTTGGGGAGGGGATGCCGGAGCCGCTGCTGTGCCCGCAGGAGCCCGCCGGGGGTGTCCCCGGGGCAGGAGCCTGTTGGTGAGAGTCGCGGGAGACAAGCCTCATGCTCAGTTTATTGGAGTCGATTACAGTTTCTTTATACAAGCACTAATTAGTTCATACATATTGCAAAAGCGAAGCTCAGGATTGGTTATCTTTCTATTAACACATATATCTCTTTGCGATAAGCCTTGCGGTTACTGCTTCTTTATACTTGATTGTTTTCTGCATACTAAGCAATTTTACATCTTGGTTGTTAACAAGACACCTGTATGCTCAAGGTAGTTAGGAGATATCTGTCTCTCAAGGGCATAGTTTTCATGCTACAAGTCACTTATTCTCACACTCTCAACAACTTAACCCTTTCGTGTCCCTTGCTGCGCAGCCATTCTTCAGCCAAACTCTCGACAGGAGCCCATCCCGGGCAGGACGAGCCCTCGCTGCCCGCGGGGACAAGCCCGGCCGTGGCCGTGGGGCCGGGCAGAGCCCCCCGGCAGGACAGGGCTCCATCCCGGAGCAGCCTGGAGTCCCTGGGAGCGAGGATCTCCCGCCTGAGCCGGAGCCATCGGGGGGTGGCCCGGGGGGTCCCCTGGCCGGGCCCCCCTGCCCAGCCAGCCCCGGGCCACGGGGGCTCGCCCCGGGAGGAGCTGCTGTGCCGGGCTGCCACAAGGACAGGCTCTCCTGGCAGCAGTGCCAGAGCCAGGGGACATCCCGCCCTGCAGCCAGCGGCTCTCTGGGGACGCGGAGGGAGTGTCACCTTCCCGATGGCTGATGTGGGCAGGAAAGGAGCTCCCAGCAGCAGGAGTGAGTCCGGCCCGGCCGTGCGGCGCTGGGAGGTGCTGGAGGAGCGTGCAGGGCTGTGACAAACAGGGGAAGGGACACGGGACAGGGACACGGTGGCAGGGACCAGCCCCAGCTGCCTGTGGGGTTTCTGTGTGTTTGTGGGCTCCTCCCTCCCCAAATGCCATCTTCCCGCAGGTGCTGGCACGGCCATGGGAGCCCCCCGGCGATGGGGGTCACCTGTGTCCCCAGGGCTACGTGGGGACAAGGAGGGGGGGCTGCCCTGCAAGGTACGGCCCTGGGGCCTGGGGTTTGGGCTCTGCCACGGGCACAGCCCCGCCTGGGACAGCATGGGGGCAGGGATGGGGGCAGGGATGGGGGCAGGGATGCTCCTGGCTCTGCTTCTGGCTGGGATCTGGACGTGGCCAGGACACCGAGCGTGGCCCTGGCCCTTGGCCCCGGCCCTCGAGCCATAGGAATGCATCAGGAAATGCAATGGAAAAGGGCAAATGGGATTGTAACCCCGGTGCTGGATGCCAGGGGGTGGCGGGGCAGCCACTGCAGAGGAGCCAGGAGGGGACACGAGAGCTGGGATCTGGTGCCAAGCCCTGGAGCCAAGGGGACAGAGCCAGGTATGGGGCTCCAGGGATGGCTCCTGCTCCGAGGCTGGAGCAGAAGCTGCCCCTGGAAGCCCAGGAGGGGATGGGCACCCTGAGGGCAGGACTGGGGATGTGGGTGACGGTGTCCCTGGCACAGGACTGGCCTGGCACTGCTGGGACACACCTGGGACACCCATCACCTGTGCCACACGGACCTGCAGAGGATGGTGAGGTGACCTCGGGATGGCCCAAGCAGGGGTTGGCCTGGCACTGCTGCAGGTGGCAGGGACAGGCTGGGGTGGCTGTGCTGGCTCTGCTTTGCTGCTCCTGGGCGTGATGGGAGGGCCAGAGCCGGCTCCTGGGAGAGGCAAAAATGTGGGAATGGGAAAAGAGGAGGAATTTCCAGTCTTGGCAGGGGCAGGGAGCCCGTGTGGGCCAGGAGTGGCTGGACAAGGAGAGAAGGAAAACAGCAACTTCACAAGAAGAGAAACTGGAGCTGCTGGAGGTCAGCACACTCCCGGTTTCCCAGAGGGGCCAAGATCACACCAGAGGGGCCGTGGGAAGGAGCACACACATCACAGCCCTGCCACAGCTCAGTCCCTTTGCCAGCATCCCATGGGAAACATCCCTGCTGCCCAAATTCCTGCAGAGCCAAGCTGCCTTTATCCTCTTGGGGGATTTATTGAGGGACTGAGGCTTTGAGGAGAACAATTTGTAAGGAAAACCCCCCTTGTGGCTGTAGGCAGACTGGGATCAGTGTCTGCAGCTCAGAAGGTGCCCCCAGAGCCTCCTTTTCTCCAGGCTGAGCCCCTTCCCAGCTCCCTCAGCCTCTCCTGGGGCTCCAGCCCCTTCCCAGCTCCGTTCCCTGCCCTGGACACGCTCCAGCCCCTCCAGGTCTCTCCTGTCAGGAGGGTCCCAGCGCTGCCCCAGCCCTGGAGGTGCCCCAGCAGTGCCAGCTCATGGATCAGTGGGGGCTGGGGGGCAGACTGGGGGGCTGTAGGCAGACTGGAGGTCACTGTCTGCAGCTCGGAGTGTCCCTGCAGAGCCCCGGCAGGGGCAGGGAGAGCTGGAATGTCGGGAAGGGCAGAGATACAGGCAGGGCTTGAGGCCGGGCTGAGAATTCCTGGGCAGGGATGCAGCAAAGCTCAGAACGAGCATCAGGGCTGGGGTCCGGTCCGGGCCCTGCGGGGCTGCGGGGTGCCCTGGGCAGCAAAGGCTGAGGTGGCTGCGGCTGTCCCGCAGAGGCTGCGGGAGCTGGAGCGGGGCCGGCGCTCCCTGCTGCGGCAGCGGCTGCAGGTGCTGCTCCGGCGGGACACGGCGGACACCCTGCGGCAGCTCCGGGAGGCGCTGGAGCAGGTCAGGGACGGCGGGACGGGCGGTGCGGAGGTGATGCAGAGGTCAGGGACACCCCCAGCCCCGGAGCCCAGCGACGGGGATCAGCCAGGGGGGCACAGCAGCCCAGATGTGCCGCTCCTCTGAGGCCACCCAGAGGTTTTGTCCCCCCCAGGAGAGGGGCTGGTGGGGACACGGGCTGCGCTGGGGGTGGCTCGGGGGACACAGGAGGGACCCTCGGATGTTTCTGTGCTTGTTCCTCTTCCAAACCTCTGCTCAGCCCGGGGGGCTGCCAGATGTTCCCTGGAAGCTCTGACCCGGCCCCAAAACTTTCCCAGGAGCGGCTGAGCGGGCTGGGGGGCAGAGCTGCCCTGCTCCGTCTCTCCCTGCCCCTCCGGGACCGGGCGGGCAGGAGCGGCCGGCGGGAGCATCTCCCGAGCCGCCCTCGGGGCGCGGCGGTGCCGGGGCGGGCCGGGGGCAGCCCCCGGAGCCCCCCGGAGCCCCCGCGGGCGCTCGGGAGATGCTCCCCGACACCGGAGCCCTCGCCGGCAGCCCTCCGGTGGGTCCGGGAGCTGCCCGGGGGGACACGGGGGTCCCGCTGGTGCGAGCCTTCCTCCCCCCCTGCCCCGTCCGGCTCATCCCGCGCCCTCCTCGTCCTGCGGGGGCTCCGGCAGCAGATCCAGCGGCGCCTCGGGCAGTGGCAGCGGCTGCAGGGAGCCCTGGAGGGAGCTGGGCAGAGCAAGGAGGTGATTTGGGGTTTGGGGGGACATGGGGTCCGTGACAGCATCTGCCCTTGGAGGAGCTCCCATCCCTCATCCCGGAGGGAACGCCAGCCCCTCTGCAGCCCCACAGGGAGTGGGGCCAGCCGTGTTTCTGTCCCCGCGCAGGACGGGGAGCAGAGGCAGCAGCCGGAGAAGACCCCAGCTCCAGGAGCCCCGAGGGAACCCCCGGTCCAGGTGAATCAGCCCCAGGTCCGGGGATTCAGGTGGGGTTGGGGTCTCAGAGAGCCTTGGGGACCCCCAGATCACCTCCAGAGGCTCCGTGTGCAGCTCTGACTGGTGAAATGCCCACCAGGTGACACAGCTGTGTGTCCTGCCCCACGTGTCCGTGGCTGAGCTCCAAGCCACAGGAGCCAGGAATGTGTGGGCAGGATCCTCCTGGAGCTTCCAGCGCTGGGCTGACCTGACCTTTCCCTCTCTTGTGCAGAGCCAGAGGGAACATCCCCACCCCGCCTCCATCCCTGGGCTCCCCCAGCCCGGCCGGGGCTCCCGGGGGCTCCTGCAGCACTTCCAGGAGCTGCAGCTGGAGCAGACACCGAACACGGGGAGCCCAAATGCCCTGGGGGCACAGCTGGGCACCGGGGACAGAGAGGGACAGCCCGGGGTGGGCGCTGTGCCCCAGCCCCTCTGCTGATCCAGGGGAGGAAGAGGAGCAGAGCTCCAGCACGGAGCAGAATTCCCGCTGGGAGCAGCCCTGCAGTGGGGCTGGGGCCTCAGGCAGGTCCCACCACCACCAGTCCATGCCTCCAGGTGACCCCAGGGCCGATTGTTGATCCTGGGCAATCAGGTGGGATGGCCATGGAATGCCAGGAGCCTCTGCAGAGCCTGCCTGGACCAGACTCGGGGTTCCCACCTCCTCTTCCCGCCCTGCAGCTCCTCTCTGCTCCCATCTCCTGTTCTGGGATACAGCTGGAGGTGACATCTCCTTTTCTGCCCCACCACGAGGACACCAGTTGGATATTCGGGAAAAACTCCAAGCTGAAAAGGAGGTTAAACACTGGACCAGGCTGCCAAGGCACTGGTGGAATCACCATCCCTGGAAGTGTCTGAAAAATGGGTCCATGTGGCACTTTGGGATGGGGTTTAGTGGGATTTGGTCAAAGGTTGGACTTGATGATCTTGGAGGTCTTTTCTAGCCTGAATGATTCCACGATTCTGGAATGGATGATTTCCTACCTGCACACTGAGGTCCCAGTTAGGAAATTCCAACAGGCAGAACTGAGCTCCTGCAAATTCCTTGAGAAGCACCACGAGGTTGTGGGGGATCTTGGAGCTGCCCTTGGAGCAGTGGGATCTGCCCATGGAGCCTGGCTGGGATGGCTGAGCCTGGGACAGAGAGGTTTAATGGAAAAAACCCAAGGGAATTGCTCTGTTTGGATGCTTGAATTTAATTTGGAAAAGAAAAAACCCATTCCTCACTCTGGGCACATCTCTGTGGGAAATGCTGGTTTTAATTTGCAGGAGAACATCCAAGGAAAGTTTCTCCACGTGAAAAGGGGGAACTGGGAGTTTCTTGCAGGATTTTATTGCTGTGCCTTGTTCCAGGGGGGATGAGGATTGAAATATCTGTGTGCTTTCTTTCCAATGAAAATAAATGTGAGTTTTATTATGTTTCTCTGCAATGTGGGATCGGGGAAAATCTGGAATCCCTCAGGACACTTGGCCAGCCCCTGGCTGAAGTTCAGGATTTATTATTTTCCTTTTAAGTTTCACAACCAGAGCAGTGCCACAAACACATTTTTATACAGAGCTTTTAATGAAACCCCAAATGTTTGCAAGGCTCCAGGAATGTCTCTGCCAACCTCAGGGTCCCTGGACATGTGGATGACATCAAGGGACACAAACCTGATCCTTCAGCAGGAGATTCCTGGAGAAATGGTTCCCAAATCCCTGAATGGTTCCCAAATCCCTGAATGGTTCCCAAATCCCTAAATAATCATAACCAGGGCTTCATCCCGAGGGATTTTCTGCATTTTCTGAGCCCAGGTGTTCCCTGGGATGTGACAGAACCAGGGAATGCTGGGGGCACCTCTGGGGTGGTGGGGCAGGGACTCAGAGCTGGGCTGCAGTGCAGGGACCCAGTTTTGGGGTGCAGAGACCCAATTTTGGGCTGTAGGGACCCAGTTCTGGGGTGCAGGGTCCCAGATAGGGTTGGGTGCCCAAATTTAGGGTGCAGGGTCCTGGTGCTGGTGCCTGGGCCCAGGTCCACGTGCAGGGTCCTGGATCCTTTGGAATCTTCCCATTGCCTCAACATCCTGAAATAATTCCTCAGGGAAAATAAAAGGATAAAAAGATGTGATTTAAGAGAGGTCTTCTGTTTGGTTTGATTTTGGGGTGGGCTGTGTCCTTTCCAATGGGAAGCGAGCTGGGAATGCTCTTGGGGTGGAGTTTTACAGCCCTGTGGTGCCACTGGGATTTTGGAATCAACGGAACATTTCCTGAGAGGAGCCTCTAAAGGAGGCAGCAGGTGGAGCCAGACTTTTAAAAATACCAATGAATTCACCTTTCCCCACCCTTATTTTTGACCCTTTTTTCCATCCTGGGATGCAGCTGGAATGTCTCAGCCTGGGCCCCTGCAGCCTCTGCTCTGCTCTGGAGCCATCCAGGGGATCTCTGGCCAAAGGAAACGCTCCTGCTGCTGCTGAGGTGCAGCAAAGCAGCAAAATTCCCGGGAATTCCTCATCCTCTGCTCTGCAGCCATCCTGGGAGAGCTGGGGGTGCTCCCCTGGAGAGGAGAAGGCTCCAGGGAGAGCTCAGAGCCCCTTGCAGGGCCTGAAGGGGCTCCAGGAGAGCTGGAGAGGTGTTGGAATTTGTGGCATTGATGATTTTCAGATTGTAGAAAGTTTTTGGTTTTTTGCTTTGTCGCTAAAGAAGAAGTTATAATTAGTTTGTGTTGGTTTTTAAGGTTGTTTATTTTTTGCTTATTTATGACATGTTTTGCTGCCCTGCTGTAGGTTTGTTTTGCAGTGCAGCGTGTGGGGCTTTGCTCTTTAGTGGGATGTTATAAACATTATATATTAGAAACTATGTGTGCTGTATTTATAATAATGTGCTATTATCTATTATTTATGTTGAATAGTGTGTCCCCAGTCTAAACTAATAGAAAAATGCCAACACCACAGTGAAACATGGAGGGCATGAAGAAGGAGAAAAAGGATGTCACACTTAATTTCTTCTATTTTGCTCTCTTTGGACCTTTATTTAGAATTTTAAAATTTTACTTTTGCACTTGTGTTACACTTAATTATTACTTATATTAAACACTCAGAGCTGATAGTTCATCCTGTAAGATTGAAAACTCTTTTCCATGGGCAGAGATCACAGCCAGTGTCTCTGGGGGCTCTGTCCAGGGGGGTTCTGACCCCTGCCAGGGTCCCAGGGCAGCCAGAGGGAAGCCCTGGATTCCCACAGAGAGGGACTGGGGACAAAGGATGGAGGGATGGGACACAGGGAATGGCTTCCCAGTGCCAGAGGGCAGGGATGGATGGGATATTGGTAAGGAATTGTTCCCTGTGAGGTGCTGAGGCCCTGGCACAGGGTGCCCAGAGGAGCTGTGGCTGCCCCTGGATCCCTGGCAGTGCCCAAGGCCAGGCTGGACACTGGGGCTTGGAGCAGCCTCATCAGCTCCAAATGAAACCAAACCTCTCTAATTCCCACTTTTCCTGGGCAGTCCTGGCTCATCACCTCCATTCCTTGAGGGTCATGAGGAGCTCCAGCCATGCCACAGGGAATGGGGAGGGTTCAGGGAGGGGAACTGACCCCCTGCTGATTAATTCCTGCCATTCCAAGGCAATTTCAGCCTGGAAAGACATTTTTATTCTCCTGGTTAATTATTACCCACAGTAATGAGGGTGCAGCAGTGCTGAACTAAAGGTGCATTTGCTGTCTTTTCCTAATTCCAGGAATCCCTGTAGGATGCTGCTCCAGCAGAGCGTTTATTCCTATTTTAAGACATTTTGTAACAAATATTTTACTCCAGAGGGGAACTCTGCTTGGAAGAGGAGTTCAGTGGTCCCACAGCAAAAATTCCCATCCAGCCTAGAGAATTCCAGTCCTTCCACTCCTCAGGCTGCCCACCCCCAAGGATCCCTGCTCCATAAGGTGTGTGTTTTGGTGAAATCCCTTAATTTCCATGGAATGGCAGGGACTGCTGTTCACTCCTCTACCATCATTGCCCATTAAGCAGGGCCAATTAATTCTCCTAATTTCAGCATAATTAAATTTATTTGATGCATTTTGTACTCGCAGTGAACAGCCCCTGCCACCATTTATGGCTCTGGCAGCCAATTATTGGGGTTTTCTTATTCCCATTCTCCGTGGATATCCCAGCTAATTGTGCCTGTGGTGAGAAATTCCCACTTTTCCTGGGAAAATTGGGCTAATGAGGGGGGGAAAGGAGGAAATTCACCACTGGCTGATCCTGGCAGTGCCCAAGGCCAGGTTCCATTTGGCTTGGAGCAGCCTGGGAGGGTGGAAGGTGTCCCTGCCCATGGCAGGGGGTGGGATGGGATGGAATTTAGGAATTCCCCTCAGGAATGTTCTTTCATCCCTTGTGGAAAGAGTAAGAGGGAAAAAAACCCCAAAGCAAACCCGACCACCCAAGCAGGAGCAAAGAAAATATTTTTTTTCCACTTGGGTGATGTGAGAAACTGGATGGAAAATTGACTGGAAAAAGGAAATAAAAACAAAAGGAAACCACTGAAATCACGTTGAAAAAGATGGACAATAACGGGTAAGAAATAAGAAAAAGGAAAAGCAATATCTGCCACCATTTTGTCAGGGGATAAATGATAAGATAGGAGATGAAAGTTTTGCTGCCCTGCTGGGATTAAGGATTTTGACAGCCAAAGAGCAGCAGAGCAGGGAAATTGCCCCACTTCCCAATCCCAGAGGGAAGGGATAGGGGGAAAAAATCCCTTCACTTTCCCCCCAGGAAAAAGCAAAGCAAAAAAAAAAAAAAGTAAAATCTGGAAAAAAAATTTTTTTACATTTTACTTAAAAAAAGGGAGAAAGTCTGAAGAAGATGAGGGGGAAAATGGGAGAATAATTTAGAAAAATTGTGAAAATATTAAAAAATTCATTTCATTGAACTTGGAGAGCAAGATCTCTTTTACAGCAACATTGCCACAAAACCAGGACACACGGCTGGGTTAGAAATCTGGGAATTAGCCATGGAAAAGCCGAGCAGGGAGGGGCTGGAGAGTGGAAGGGGCTTGCAGCCAACAAAAGGGGCAGTTTGGGAGGTCCTGGTGCCCTTCCCTTCCCAAACCAGGGCCCTACAGAGGTTTTTATGGGCGCTGTCAGTGCTTCAGTCCTCCCTCGAGTGAGGGAAAGGAGCGAGGTGTGAGCACATAAAGGAGCAACACGGAGACATCGAGCTCAGCGGGGAAGAAAAGTCCCAGACGGGAGGGAGGAGGAGATGCCTTGATTTTGGAGCTGAAATCCTCTTGTAAGCTGTGGAGAAAGGATTCTTCTTCCCTGTAATGCATGAAGCTATGGAGATGAAAGTGTTCAAATTGTAGATACGAGCAAAAGTCGGCAGATGTTGCAGTGGCTGTGATCCCATGAGGAGTTTGAACAGAGAGAGAGAGAAGAGTGATGAGAACCCAGGGAGGAGACGAAGATCTCTGTTCCCAGGGATGAAGGTGATTTTAGAGATTGACAATGAGAACCTTTGCCTTTGAACAGCTCATCTATATTGTAAATGCAGGAAAACCCAATGGGAAGAAATGACGATGTCTGATTCAATTCAGAAGGCTGAATTATTTCTTTATTATAACTATGCTAAAATACATTAATATACTATATAAAAGGAGGATACTAAAACCACATACTACTTTCTCTAACTCTAACACAACTCATGACCCTGTTCAAAAGAGTCCAGCCCCAGGTGGGTTGGATTGGCCATCAGGCTCAAACAATCCTCACCAGAATCCAACCAAGCATTCACCCCAGGTAAACAATTCTCCAAACACATTCCACATGGGAAAAACAAAGAGCAGAAATAGAAATTGTTTTCTCTTTCATTTCTCTCTGTGCACCTCTATGAAGAATCTTGAGAGGGAGAGAAATGTGCTCCACACATCTATAAAACAATACTCCATAAGTCGGCATGGCCCATGGACCAGCTGTGGGAAGGTTTGTGGAAATGGGAAGGATTTCACGATTGCAGATTTCCCTGGGTGGATGCTATTGGTAAGAGAACCACGAGAGAACTGGTTTTATCTCGTGGAAAAGTCTCCATAACATTTACAAGAGGGACTTTTCTCCCCAGGTGATCTGAATGAAGACTGCTCTAGAGGTGGTAAAGCCAACTGGAAATTTTAGGTTTTGATTCTTCACATTATCAGTGGGAAAGGGAAGGTTGTGGGGGGAGGAGAAGTGTTCTGAAGGGTTTGTTCTGATTCTTATTACTTCTTTCTTTTAGTTACTGTTAATAAAATTTTCTTTGCACCCTTTGAAAGTTTTGAGCCTGCTCTGCCTTTCTCCTAATCCTGTCTCACAGCAGGAGATGAGTGCTCTGGGGATTGGCCAGCACTGAACCCACCACACTCTTTGGTGCCTTGGCTGGGAAACCTCAAAATTGCTGAAATCTCAAATTGGTGAACT